CACAGACCCTCTCCAGCGCCTCCGGGGAGCGGCCGCACTTTTGGTCGATCAACTATCGCGACGCCAGTACCTCCACTTCTCCTACCGACTCTCCACGATTCGCCCGGTGTAGGGGAAGACCGCCATCATCGTTGTGGAGGTAGAACCACTAGTGTACCGGCCGACGATTGGTCGACGACGAGCCACCGATGTGTAGAGGAGCTACCGGTCTTGGCGCGCTTGAGAGTGCAACCGCCGCCCTCATCGCCTTCCCCGTGCCGTCGTGCCGTCGGCTTGGTGGTATGACCCGTCCGGAAGAGGTGGAGCCACCCGAAAGTGGGGGGCAATGCCCAGATACCCCTCGCAGACGGCGACGAAGATGGCCGCCTACGCAATGGAGTTGGGGTTGAAGTTGTGGAGCTCCACACCGTAGTAGTGCGGGAGCGCCCGCATGAACCAGTCCGCTGGTAGGCCGAGACCGCGCTCGTGGAAGGACACGAAGCTCACGATGTAACCATCGCACGGCCTCGGCTCCGACTCGGCCCCCGGAGCAATCCACTCCGGCCTGCTGGGGTCGGTGACCGGGCGGAGAAGGCCGTCGTCGACGAGCGACTGTAGCGTCTCCACGGACACGTCGGACGGACCCCAAGGATCCGCCTGAAGGACTACAGCGCCACTGGCCATTGCGCGGTGGAGAATGCGAGCTACGGCGGTAAGGCTCTCTCTCTCGCGCGCGTGCCCTTCTCCCTTCTTCTCCGCGGCGCTCTCTGTTCTTAGCAATGGCTCGGAGGCAAAAAAAGGCAAATGCAGGCAAGCAACAGCAGGCCCCGAGAAACCTCCTCAAAAGGCGCGCCCGCCGTTGTCAGCCGATGGGAGGGGAATATCCCCCGACCTGATTCCTTTCAGACTAAGGAACTAGGCGCCGAGCCCATTACGGTACAGGGGTTCGAAGGCTAGGCCCCCGAGGGTCTTGACAGCCGCCCCAGGACAACAGAGTCAGGGACAACTATGGGTGAGCCCGTTCATGGCCGATGCCCGAGCAAGCGATCGCTCGAGATGCCCTAAGTCGTGTCCGAGACCGGCAGGGAGGTCTCCGAATGGGATCCCACCGTAGGGAGGCGTCGAGCCCCCGGGGCCAATCGAACGGCACTAGGACCTACTAGAGAAGCCCTCTGGTACTTTCGGAGTGCGTCTCTAGACCGCTAGCCGACCCCTATCGAATGGGGCACGGGCCTCCACTCGGACTTACTCGATAACAGCTCATCGGAGATGTCACTGCTCGCGCCCACCGAGGGTAGCCTGGCCTCCTCCACCCCTCCTTCCGAACGAAAAGGATGCGCGAGGGTCGAACAAAAAAGACAGGAAAACTCCTTATCGCCCTCTCGCTCCGTACAGAGGCTCGGGGGCTCTTCCTGCAAACCAAGCCAAGACCCAGCAACCCGAACTCGCACTCAGGGGCTCGACAAACGCGATAAAACTCCTCACTCAAAACAAGGAAAAAGCCCCTGGGGGAGTAAATCCACTCCTCCAGGGCCTCGGAGGGCTACACCCACCGGAACCACGAGTACAAAACACAATCCCGACGGGAGCTGCTGTAAGCCAAGTCTCGACAAAGCCTCAGGGAGAGTGCTCGCACTCTCCCCAAGGCTCGGGGGCTACTGTCGGATACCATAAAAAGGGGTACCCTAAGCAAGAACCAAAAAGATTGCTTAAACCTTGCAAATATCAAAGCCGAAGGACAACCACGAGGCCTCAGTCGATTCTCCCATTCGCTCGAGGCCCGCACCGCAAAGGCCATCGGACGAAAAGCCAACTCTCCGCCTCGCCGAGGCCCCCTCGCCTGAGGCCCTGCCCCGCAAGGCCTCGGACGGGTTACCGATTCTCCGATTCGCCCGAGGTCCCGCAAGATAAAGCCTCGGGCAAGTACCGATTCTCGACTTCGCTCGAGGCCGGCTCGGCAACAACCTCGTCGCCTCCGTCTCGACCGACTTCTCTGACAAAACGTCACGTCCAATTAACGCGTCCAACCACTCCCATAACGTCGGCCGCGACGCCGACGCAAAGATAAATGGAGTGGCCGACGGACGGGAGATGACAGATCGGGCGGGGATTACCGCCATCGTGGCTTCAAGATCGCGCCCATAATCGACGCCCAGACGCACTATGCTACCTAACTCCTACTCCAGAACAACGCGCGCGTGGGAGTCAAGTCCGGATCACTATAGCCTCGGAATCGCAGTATAGGACCAATCGCTCCCTCCAAGCCTCGGCAATCCACTTCGTGGTCTCGGCACCTCGGGATTCGCGCCCGCCGAGCCCCCCCACGATGGCTCGGCCTCGGCACCAACCGAGCCTCGACTTTTTACATCGCCAAACGCGCCACACGATCGACACGCGTCGTCGGCCATGCCCTCGCCAAGCTATCACCGGAGCTCCCACGTCCGCACAAGATCGGGTGTGACCGCGCGCGTTGCTCCAAAGCATCAAGGACAAGACCGCTCCGCTGACCATGCCGCCACAAAGAGTAAGCTACGTGGCTCAGACACGCCACCTCCACTCACAAGACGCCGCATAGCAAACACATGTATCACCCCGTCCCCCTTCAACTATAAAAGGAAAGACCGGGGCCGTTTCTAGAGACAGAAGACAAATGAACTCACGCATAGGCTCACGTGAGATTCGAGACACGCTCCCCCACGCTCGAGAGCAACGCCTCTCACGCAGCCCACACCGCCCACGCAGAGACCCGGACTAGCTCCTCTCTCGCCCAACTTTTGTAACCCCTACTACAAACACTTGATTGCAAGGAATACAAGATCGATCTCTCGGGACCGGACGTAGGGCACCAATTGCTCGAACCAAAGATAAACCTTTTGTCTCTTTGCATCACCATCCGGGATTAGGGGCACGCAGTTCAAATTCACTATTTGGTTGAGGACCCCCCGGTCCAAAACACCGACAGGATCCCACCGTAGGGAGGCATCGAGCCCCTGGGGCCAATGGAACGCCACAGGGACCCACTAGAGAAGCCCTCTGTTACTTTTTGAGTGCGTCTCGGACCGCTAGCCGACCCCTGTCGAATGGGGCACGGGCCTCCACTTTCGGACTTACACGATAACAAACTCACCGGAGATGTCATCGCCACGCCCACCGAGGATAGCTCGCATCCTCCACCCTCCTTCCGAACGAAAAAGGATGCGCGAGGGTCGAACAAAAAATACAGAGAAACTCCCCGATCGCCTCTCGCCTCCGTCAAGTGCAGGCTCGGGAGCTCTTCCTGCAAAACCAAGCCAAGACCCAAAGAACCCGAACTCACGCTCTCAGGGCTCGCAAACAAGCGATAAAAACCTCACTCAAAAGCAGGAAAAAGCCCCTTGGGGAGTAAATCCACTCTTCCAGGGCCTCGGGGGGCTACACCCGGCGGGTGTGCTCACGCGCACCCACCGGAACCACGAGTACAAAACACAATCCCGACAGGAGCTGCTGCAAGCCAAGTCTCGACAAAGCCTCAGGGAGAGTGCTCGCACTCTCCCCGAGGCTCGGGGGCTACTGTCGGATACCATAAAAAGGAGTACCCTAAGCAAGAACCGAAAAGATTGCTTAGACCTTGCAAATATCAAAGCCGAAGGACAACCACGAGGCCTCGGCCGATTCTCCGATTCACCCGAGGCCTGCGCTGCAAAGACCTCGGACGAAAAGCCAACTCTCCGCCTCGCCGAGGCCTCTCGCCCGAGGCCCTACCCCGTAAGGCCTCGGACGGGTTACCGATTCTCCGATTCGCCCGAGGTCCCGTGCATAAAGCCTCAGACGAAGTACCGATTCTCCGACTCGCTCGAGGCCGGCTCAGCAACAACCTCGTCGCCTCCGTCTCGACCGACTTCTCTGACAAAACGTCACGTCCAATTAATGCGTCCAACCACTCCCGCAACGTCAGCCGCACGCGTCGGCGTGAGTGTGGAAATGGCCGGGCCGACGGACGGGAGACAGGATAAGCGGGGAGTTACCGCCATCGTGCTTCAAAGATCGCGCCCATAATCGACACCCGTCTTTGCCGGTGCTACTACCTAACTCCCCGGTCCCAGAACAACACGGCGTGGGGAGTCAAGTCCGGGTCACTATAGCCTCGGAATCGGTGTATAGGACCAACTGCTCCTCCAAGTCTCGGCAATCCACTTCGTGGTCTCGGCGCACTTTCGGGATTCGCGCGCCGCCGAGCCCCCCCGACGATGGCTCGGCCTCGGCACCAACCGAGCCTCGGCTTTTTACATCATCAACGCCACAATGACCGGCACGCGCGTCGTCGGCCATGCCTGCGCCAAGCTATCACCGGAGCTCCCACGTCGCACAAGATCGGGTGTGACCGTGGCGCTGCTCCAAGGCATCAAGGACAAGACCGCTCCGCTGACCATGCCGCCACAAAGAGTAAGCTACGGGGCTCGAGCACGCCACCTCCGCTCACAAGACGCCGCGATAGCAAACACATGTATCACCCATGTCCCCCTTCAACTATAAAAGGAGAGACCGGGGCCGTTTCTAGAGACAGGAAGATGTATTTAACTCACGATATGCTCACGTGGATTCGCACACACGCTCCCCCCCGCCGCTCGAGAGTAACGCCTCAAGCAAATTTCACACCGCCCACGCAGAGACCCGGACTAGCTCCTCTCTCCCAAATTTTGTAACCCCTACTACAAGCACTTGGTGCAAGGAATACAAGATCGATCTCTCGGGACCGGACGTAGAGCACCAATTGCCTGAACCAGTATAAACCTTGTGTCTCTTTGCATCACCATCCGGGATTAGAGGCACGCAGTTCAAATTCACTAGTTGATTGAGGACCCCCGGTCCAAAACACCGACACTAGTCTCAGGATCCAAATCAGAGAGTTTGCTGTTCTCGGGTTCCACCTTTTGGGTATCAACTTCAGGGGCACCCTTTATCACAGATTTCCACCACTCCATTTGGTTGTGCTTTGTAAGCAATATGGACAGGGTGTTTCCATCCTCTATAAAATGTTATCATTAGGCAACCGTACTTCTATCAATAAGGGGCTTAGGATGGAAGAAAAGGGCTCTGATGCAGACAACCAGCTCAGCAGCTGCTGAGCTGCAGCTGCAGCCATATAAAGTAGTGCAGCCAAGGACTCACTTACCTATGCTCCAGAAGCAGTCATCAACCTTAACTGGCTTATAGAGCTCGCCCTGGTAATAAAGAAAGTAACAACAGGAAGTTAGAGCCCATAATATGTATTGTTGTAACAACACATTTGGTTCACCAGAAACATTGTCATCCCATAAGACGAGATGAAACTTATTGTTCTAGCTATTTACATCAATGATGATGGCTGTCCCTTCAGGCCAACCTTCAGATGGTTCTTCTTTATATCAAAGACCACAAATCTTGATTTTGTTCCTTGAGGAACAGGAATGGAGATGTTAACCTCTGGCAACTGTTGAGTCCACGAGTACTTCTCCAAATCAAGACCATTGCCAGCATTTGGTTCTGGTTATTAGTAAAATTAGATATTCTATTAGGAGATCCCATAAAATGCAGAAGTACAAATCACATCTGAAGAAATTGTCTTAGAGATGCAATAATGAAAGAAAACAATTATTAGGTAATCATGTTAGCAATTTCAACTTTTATAGTTTCACTTATAACGTGGTACAAACCCAAGTCTTAACTGAACGCTACAACAGAGAGATAACTTTTGTTTAACTGCAATCGACATTGGACCATGGATACTGTAAGGTCAGCTAGAAGCTAATAAAGGGCAAATGAATGTAGCTTTTTTCCCTAACAAGGCTTTTATAGGTTCAAACATTTTGTTGCCTGCTGATACCAGTAACGGAATGCAGTTTGAAAATATCAAATGGTGTAAGGATACCTAAATCAAACCACATACGTTGATCAGAGCATCAGCCCCAATCTATCTAGCTAACCAATAACTATTCTTTTTTTTTTTTGAAACGAAACCAATAACTATTCTTATCCTAACTCTACAAGCCTAATCCTCCGATTCAGAATATGCGAGATCGGGTTTATGGAAGTTGGAACCACATTTAGCACCAAAATCCCTAAAACGCAGTAGCAATAACAATTTCAAAACAGGGCAGCAAGGGAATAGAGTACTCACGTCTCACGTTGCCTTCCTCCTTATCCACCTCCATGCTGTCCTTCTCCACCGAGCTTCCCCGGCTTCTCCGCCGCCGCCGCCTCCTTGTCAGGCCTCCGCGCCTCGGCCTCCTCCGCCTTCCTCTTGGCCGCCCTCTCGGCGGCTCGGCCTCCAACTACGCCCTGACGGTCGCCGCCCTCGCGGTGACCTTGCTCACCGCCGAAGGGTCACGGAGTACTTGTTTTCACGAGACAAGAGGCCCAAGCCCAACCGCCAGTTAATCGTGATGATTTCTATACTGCCAGCGGCCCTTAAACTTGGTTTTATGCCACTTAGCCCATGTTTAGTTCCTCTATTTTGTAAAATAATTTTAAATTCTGGGTCATCTTTTTGCAAAATGTAACTAAATATGGGTGTGAAAAGTACAAAAAGTTCTCCAAAAAATTTCATATTTTGGACTACAGACTCCCGAATCCGAAATTTTTCGCCTCGGTCCCATGCGGCGACGCGCTACCAGACCCCCTCGCCCCGCTCCCCTCCCTACCCCATCCATTCGCTTCGGCCGCCACTCTCCTTCTTCCTTTCCCCATCTCCATCTCCGCCACTCTCCTCCACCCACCACCACGATCTCCCTCGCAGACGCTCCTCTCGGTCTCTCCCCACCTCCTCCATCACCACCTTCACCTTCTTCCCACACTTTCTTCATCATGACACCGTGCCCTGCCCTCTCCGCCAGAGATCGGGCTTTCAAGCCGCGTCCAGAGCACTCATGGACGGATTCAAGGCAACGGCGGCGGTACGGAAATGACGACGGCACCCATGATCTTCTCCCAACCGGAGCTCGGACGGCTTTCAACCTCTACTCTCGACCACCGGCGCGCAGTTCCCTAGCTCAAGCTCCATCAGCGCTCAACGGGCCGGCCTCTCCTCCCTCGATCTCAACTCCAACGGCGAGGCTTGGCCCGGAATGGGAGGAGAATACGAGAACCTCCTCACGCTTCGGCCAGACGAAGCGATGATGGCGGGCGCTTCTCTCCCCTCTCCGCGCGCTTTTCGTGCACGGTTTACGTGTATGAGTGATTGGTTTGTTATATGTTGTAATGCTTATGAGTGATTGGTGCCTTCAGTTGTAATGGACTTGTGAAAAAATGTCTTCCTAAACTTGTCGAAGGATGCCACTCAGATCCATACCTCCTTCGGAGGACGTTGACTAGGTTAAAATTTTATAAAAACCACCCTATCTATATCTATCTAGTCATCTTCTATCTCTAGCGCTCCTTTCCTAGACCTACGGTGCCGGCGTCGCCCGAGTCGGCCTCCACCTCCGGCCGAGCACGCCTCCCCATCGCTGATTCGCCGCCCCACACCCCGGCCCATTTCCCGACGTCCCCGCCCGCCAGCGCATGCACAGGCGGAGGTGGGCTAGGGTGTGGAGCGGCGATGGGGATTGGTGAGGCATGCTCGAATAGAGGAGGAGGCCGGCTTGGGCGATGTCGACACCGCACGGGGCTAGGAAATGAGTGCTAGAGGAAGATGACTAGATATGGTGGTTTTTGTAAAATTTTATCCTAGTCAAAGCCCTCTGAGGGGGTATGGATCTAAGTGGCACACTTTGACAAGTTCAAGGAGGCAGATTTTGATTTTGAGTGTTCATGGACCTAAGTGGCACATAGCCATAAATTTAAGAGCCACCAATGTATTTAACTCTTTTTATATTTGTTAGGGCCCATTTGGCATTGTTTTTTTCAAAAAAAAAAGTCCGAGCTAAAACAAGGTAGAAACAAAATTATAGTAAGAGATTAAAGACACCCCCAAAGTAAACGCAACAAGACGTTTCGAAATACTCACCATGTTCGCTTGATCGTTTCTATGGCTTATAAGCCGGCTGATGTTGTTTTGTTATGAGAGAAAAACACTATTATATTATGGCTGATAAGTATGGCTGATACGATCAAGCGAACATGGTGACTACCTACAAATGATTCTCTATTAAACAGAATCACTTGTTGAGTTTATTTGACCACAAATTCAAATTCTTTCTAAAATGACCTAAACTGGGTCCCCACTAAACAGGCCATTTCATATCTGAATGGTCAATAGTGATTTCCAAGTGAACTGTATTAAGAATACAAATACAAATACAAATACAAACACACACAAAAAAGTCAAAACGCAGCCGGCAAGATTTTAAGAAACTGCGTTGCAAAGAAAAATTCCCATGGAATGTACTTTCTGCGTGGCAATCTTAACATGTTTCTGAAAAAAAATATGTACATAGTCGATCAACCTACATTTTACAACATCAACCCTCGAATCCTTTAGAATGGAGCTAAAGATTGCTAACCCGGTTACTAGAAACCGGTGGCGCCTGACGACGAGGGAATTCGAGTGGAGCGAAGATTGCCGGCCTCCACCACGACGGCGCGGCAGTGACACTCGTCAGAACGGTCAGGAACCGGCAGCCGTGTCGCCGCCGGAACCGGACGACGAGGAGGCCTCCTCGTCCATAGCCGCCTCGCACTTGCGGCAGCGCTTGGGTTGGGGCGGCCGCTTATCGGCGGCGTCGGCGACGAGGAGGACGCGGCGGCACGAGGGGCAGGAGGAGTGGGCGGCGAGCCAGGTGTCGATGCACGTGACGTGGAAGGCGTGGCCGCACTGCGGCAGCACGCGGACCTCCTCCCTGGGCGCGAACTCCGACAGGCAGATGGCGCACTCCGCCAGGACCTTCGCCTCCCCGGCCCCGGCCGCGGCGGCCGCCACGGCGTCCTCGTAGGCGAGGCTCGGCAGCGCCCTGAGCGCCTTCTTCTTGAGGCCCCTCCTGGCGGCGGCCTGGGCGGTGGAGGGCGCGGCGCGGGAGCGCGCGCACCGGGCGACGGCGGCGAGCCCCACGACGCAGATGAGCGCGCAGAGGAGCGCGGCGAGGATGACGACCACGTCGGAGTCGACGGCCAGCGGGCTCGGTGGCTCGGCCGCGGGGAGCGTCGGGTACTGGGCGGAGTTGGTCTGCAGGAGGCGCCGCGCCGGCGACGCCATTGGCCGGATCAAGGCGGACGGCGGACGGGGACGGGGACGGGGACGGGGGCAGACTGGAGTTTTGTCGTGCCTTGCGCGCAGTGGAAGTGGTGGTGGTGGTGGTGGTTAAATGGGAGAAGAGAGAAGCCTCTGTAACTGTGATTATCAAAAATATAGAAATAGGAAAACACAAGATTATAAAATGCCCATACAGTTGGGGTTCTATAGGAAAGTTTATATCGATACAGAGCAAAACAAAACAAGAGGTCAGACCTCATGCTTGTTTTCCTACAAAATTTGCATAGGACAACTCATTTCATAGAAATTTCAAAGAAATATGTAAAATTCAATCCTTTGTTCCAAAGACTCTTATAGAAAAAATTCTTATAGAAATTCAATCTCCTAAAATATTTGTTCATTTTTTTCTCCATTCCAAAGAAGGTGGAATGGTTCTTAACTTCCAAAATTCCTTTAGAGCTTAGTTTGGTTAGCTAGGAATTTACCCAGGAATTATTCTAGCACATCAAAGGTTATATAAATTAGCCAAGTATTTATGATAGGAATTGTTTCAAGACATGGTTCCTAAACAACCAAACGATGCCTTATTTTTCTCGATTTCAAGAGGACCTCAGTAGGAATGGTTCTTAACTTCTTATGAAAGAGATGTCAGGGCATCCACGGTGCGCATGGATAAAGTCACGTGTGTCTCTGGAAAAGTTCAGCGGTGCAACGTACATCCCATTGCCTTTCAAATTTACGAGTTGAAAACAACATAATCTATGATTTAGGAGATGGTTGCTCTAACAGATTGAAAAAAGAACATGCATCATCTTTTCCTTTGATATGTCAGACCCACGTATCAGTGGATCAATTGTTTCCTTCATTTCATTTCAACTAGTCTTCCTCCTCTCAAGACCTTGCAAAGTCTTTCATCCTAGTCTCTCTCTCTCTCTCCTCTCTTTCTTGGTGGCCAAATCTCCCTTCGGTTCGGTTCTCGACGGCAGCGCCCTCCACCCCACGTGTAGAGATTGACGATGCTCTAGCATATCTTTAGATAAAATTGCAGTGGATCGAGTGGCAGGGAGAAAAAACTACCATAGGGAAGGAATTGGATGTTGAGAAATAATAGTAATATAAGTGGATGGGAAAGAGAAATTATTAGAGTTTTTTTTCACTTATTCCTGTGTACCACAGTCTATGGATAAAAATGATTTCTTTCCTCAATCTAGTAAATGTTACGAGGTCGTTAGCACTGGAAAAGATTTATCGGGGATGGTCCTTAAAGGAGCAAGAGCAACTATGGGCATCCACTTTGGATTCGTTACGTGTATCTATGCATATGTATTTAATCATGTAATTATTGCTTAAATTTAAAAGAAATAATTAAAAAAACTATAACTCTCTCGTACATGCAAACATGTATTTCCTTAGCCCCAAAATAAGTGTGCTTCTAGAGTGAGGTGAAGAGATCTAGGTTATTGAGAAATTAAATATATGTCCATATAAAGATGTGATCATTGCATCTTGGAAAAAAAAAAAGTAAAGTTAGCTTATCTTATATCTAGAAGTGTACTTATTTTAGACAAATTTTCAACTCTAAAATGTACTCATTATGGGATGGAGAGAGTATCTTGAATCCATGATGAAGTAACCATGATTGCTTTATAAAAACCGTCCTTACTGACTTTTTTCCACTTGACGCTCGACAGGAGGTGGTGGCCTAATGGCTCGATGGATACACGGACCCGGAGTTTTGCAATCATGACGCGTTCGTTCGTTCGACTCGCGTGCGGCGTCTGCTCGATCCGTAGGTCTCGTACTTGGCGTCTTTCCCGTGCCCGCGAGGAATTTTTTTTTTTTAACACTTTTTTTTTTTGTTGAAACGATGGCCCTGTTTGGTTTGCTCAAACTTAACTGAAATTGACTAGAAAACACTGTTATAACTAAAATATTGTGAGATAAAAACATTGTTTCAGCTGAAAAAAAGAAATCGAACAAGCCAGGTATATAAGGTAAGCCGAACGGGCCTATTTTTAAATATGACACTGTTTTTTTTTTTTCAAAACTAACACTTTTGGTCGCGTCTATCGCATGGCGCGGCGAAATCACATTGACGCATCATACATGGGAGCGCGGTAGGAGCGATGACGTGGCGTGACGGATCGATCGGCGACGAAATGGCCGACGGCGGGGCTATTGTCTAAACAATGTGTCGCAGATCAGCCGTAGCCGTGATCGACGCTGCCATGAAGAATGACGCGTTAATGGTGATTTCGCATCATTTTGTACCCACACCCATGCATGGAGCGTCAACGTGATTTCGCCGCGCCATACAAATAGACGCGACCAAAAATGTTAGTTTTGAAGAAAAAAAATAAACAATGTCATATTTAAAAATAGTTTAAAAATGTTAAAAATAAAAAAAATCCCCTTGAGCCGTACCGTAGTGCCGTGGTGGTGGTGATCCTGGCGGCCGCTGTTGTGCCCATCAATCAATCAATCAATAAACGGGAACACGATGCTTCCCATCATCGCATCGTCGTACGCAGTACTCTAGGATCAGAACAGGCGTGGCAGGAAGCAGGTAAACTCGGTTGCATTGGGAGGACCGGCCAAGTTTTTTCACTCTCTTTTCATTATATTAAATTTTTAAATATATGCATGAAGTATTAAATATAAATAAAAAAATAATTAATTATACAGTTTGATTATAAATTACGAGACAAATCTTTTGAGTTTAGTTAGGCCATGATTGGACAATAATTGTTAAATACGAACGAAAATACTACAGTGCCAAATGCTAATTTTCAACATCATCTAAACAAGGCCGAAGACCGCAAGGGGAAGAAATGGCCTCGGAAACACTGTTGAATTTGGATCCGAGCCAAGACACAGGAGAAACGTTTCGAGGAGAAGCAAAGGCGGTCGTTGGCTTGCACGTCACTTGTCTGCCGGATGGAGCTGTTTCTTTTTGCCCCGACTGAGAGAGCGAGAGCCCCCAGAGACATCGCGACGGTGCAGACAGTTGGCGGCTCAAACCCTCTTGAATATCTACTTTTAAACGAGCTGAGGTGCTGAACATGTAGCGTATAGGTTTCACTAAGAGTCCATCAGTGTCATCCACATTGGAGCTGGAGGCCTATGAGAAGCTCTTCAGCGACGATCTAACTACGTCCGAGGCCCCAGCGCTCGATGAACTCTTCCAGGTTGTTCGGTCTAGGCAGCCGCGAAGACGTAAGGTCATCTCCTAGGTAGCACCGTTGTGTAGGTATTGGTTGCTTTATTTAATGTAATATCGAATCTAAAGGTGTTTTGTTAGAATGGTCCAGCTACGGTTGTATTAGATTGACCTCCTGTGACGCTGGTATGTTTATCTAAACTATTCTATTTAATACAATGATACGCAAAGAAAAAAAAAGTCCCAGAGAGGAGCCAAGTCGATAGGGAGGGGTCTTCATTGTCGTGTACTAATCATGTGGGCCGTGGGCGTACGTAAAGAAGTTCGGAGCATCCCGTAACCTGCACTGCTTTTTTCTCGGCTAACAGTGATCGTCTTCTGGACTTGATCACTGATGGACAGGCACTACTACTTGGCTAATCCTTTGCGAACTTTCCTGAAAGCTTTTCATGGGACGAATGATTATGCTACGCAAGGTACAGATGCTGGTGTAGCAGTAAATACATAGGATCATGTCCCATGGGAGATAGGATTGGGGGGGGGGGCGGGGGGGTGGTTCGCATGAATTGGACATGAACGCATATGCAAATCGAAGAAATAAAAAACATATGAATTTGGTAGGAATATGCTTTTGTATGAACAGTAGGAAAAAAAGAGAAGCAGAACAAAAAAAATGAGGTTGGAATCCGTGGTGGATGCAGGATGGGACAAAGGGACTAAATAATAAAGATTTAGAGCTAGAGCTGCAGATTAATGGTGATTTGAGGCTAAATAACCGTGGTGTGATGAAAAAATCAGGCTCACCAGGAGCGGGCTCACTAGGAGGGTTGTAGCCCCGACAGCCTCCCTTTGGATCCGCCCTGGTAGGAATGGATCAAATCAAACACAACAGAAGTTTTCTAGTTTTTTTTCCCTACAAGTGATTCCTGCGAACCAAAGATACAAAGGACGCCACGATTCGATTCCTATATAAACCAAAACACACTACAGAAACTCAATCATAGAATTGTGACTCGTACAGTTTTCCTTTGTTTTTTCCTATAATCCAAGTGGAGGATTAAAATTTGAACCTAGTACCATGCACTTGGTAAAGCAAAGGGTAGGTCTCAAAAAAAGTGAAGGAAAGCAAAAACTATTACTCTTCACCAAATCAAGATCCCACATCACAGGGTTTCGTTGTAGGTCACGAAAAGAGAACCAACAAACCGCTTACTGTTGCTCTTTACATGTGGTCCCAAAGATTCGTGTGTGCAAGCAGTGTAATCCTGCCAAAAGGCAAACCCTGTCCAGTCTCAAAAATGTGAAGCAAGCACCTCTTTAGCATCAAGCCTAGCTGAGCTTCACAAACAAGTATTACTCACTATCTTAGCGACCGTTACAGGTGCAAATGCACCACTGAACAGGGTATCTAAAGCAATTCCCGGCTAAAACTTTTCCAACTAAGGATTCACACATTCAGTCCAAAAGATGAAGGTTTCCTGTGATATTGTTATCAAATGCAAAATTTAGTCAGCTCAGAAGGATTACAGTGATTATCATGTTACATGGTCATTGCAACTTCCAGCCCTCAACTGGGAAACTAAGATGGTTACCGACACAATCTCTGTGTAGTAGATTTCAATATTGGGGTAAACCATAACCCAGCAAAGACCCTAATCGCTAAAGATGTATCACGCCACAGCAGCACTCGTTCGCTCAAATCTCACTAATATACTCTAAAAGAGATTCAACCTCCTGCCTCAGGGCGGCAATTTTCTGCTGCTGCAAAGCAATCCTGTTCTCTACATCTTGCCCACGCAGCTTCTTCTCAAAGCTATCGACAACGGTGGAATGCCTTGTCATGAGCTTCTCCTGCATCTCTCTCTCCTTTGCAATCAAGTCCTCCACCTGCATCACCCCAAAGCACAGTAACCAAAATGGAAGATTTGCAATTAATGTAAATGCAGAAAGAAAGTTCAGAACAAGTTTCTCAACTTGCTTTCTTCGTATGCCTGATGATGATATAAGAACAAGAACAAGAACAAGAACAAGAACAAGAACAAGAACAAGAACAAGAACAAGAACAAGAACAACTAACCTTTGGCCATATCTGATAAGACTGGGGAGATGACTGTAGAATCGTCAACAGCGGCTTCAGATCTTTCGATAGCTCCTTAAACTGTGCGTCAGCAGCTTTACGAGCTGCCTTGCAAGACTGAATGTCTCCTGTCCTAGACAAATCACGCAACGAGGCCTCCAGTTTATCATGAACTGCTAAGCATTGCTCAAAGATGCCCTGGATTTTCTGAACAGTGGCTTGCACCTATACCATAAAGAGTAAAATGGCCAGCAAAATATTAGCACTATAGAAAATAACAGGTAGTTGCCATAATATCAAAACAACAAGCTTGTACTGCAGCAATTCAAGATTTGTTTTTCAAAACTCAGGCCAAACATGGCTTCCTTAGCAAGGCATGCTTAGTCTAAAATTAATTCATATTTACAATGGGTTGCAATGGTTAACTTAAGCCCTCACTTATGCAAATTCTCTTGTTAGTTTTTAACCAAACTCTGCAGGCGTTAGTGCAAGTAGAATAGACAGAATTATTATTTGAGGACATCCAAGGTTTTCCTAGTTAGAATATCCTTCTATAAGTAATTTCAGTCCCAATTGACATATAAAGCAACAAAGGATAAATGATTCGCCAGTTCATGTTATATATTACATCCGCAGATCTACTCCTGCCAATAAATATCTATTTAAAACCCTGTGTAATTAGGTGCTGAAACTAATCATCAGTATTATATGCCCAGGGCCCCACAATTAATGTGACACGTCATATAGGAAAAATATAATAGTAAAAGATAACAAAAGGGGAAATATTTGCAGGCTTCTAAAACAGTTTTCAGCAAGCCCATTGACTCATGATGTGTGTGTGTGTGTGTGTATTAAAGTAATCGCGTACCTCATCCCATTGCAGCTTGGCCAAGTAGGAAGGAGAGCTCTTGGATATTGACATATCAGTACGCATGTAAACAATACAGGCCACAAACAGGAGGAAGAAACCAGTAATCAGCATCAACGGCTCTCTGAGCAAGGATATGTTGTTGAATTTGTAGTAAACCTACATATTGCAAATGATTCATCAAATAAGTTTGCTCCAGTTCATATGTATCTATAAACAAACAATTTAACTCACTAGAAGTAGCTCAAGTAAGCATTTCATACTGCAGCTTTTAGTTCTGTTATGTGTGTTGGGAACCAATACTTCATCAAATGATTATTTGGTCCGACCAACAGTTGAAGCACAAATTACCCTTTTTCATAGAACCGTTATCCAAGCAAATTACCCGAAAATGAATCTGGTGACAAACCTGGAAATATAAATTATGCTCTGGAATAACATCAGGTTTCTCCAAGACAACAACTGGCCTTCCAACAATGTCAAGGTGTGAATACTTAACCTGCACCAAAAATCACTGCTTTTAGAAACAATGAATAGGATAACTATTTAGCTCACTACACCATAGTGAGAAATAACCTCTTGCCGCTGCTGTGTTGGAAAGGGAGCTGAAACTTCGATATCCTTTGACCCTTCAGGTAGAACAACCTGTTCAACAAAGATACTTATACAAGGAGCAAAGACAACTAATGCAAAGGCATGGAATATGAAAAATTAATAGTACATAATACCCTGTCATTATTCTTGCTATCCACATTCCTATGATCACAACAGAAATAAAGATGGCAGTTTATAATGAATACCAAACACATAATGGCCACATAATCTGCAAATTATGTCATGTAGGCTTAAACTAATGAAATATAATTTATTTGTTCGATGCACATTCACACGTACCTTTACAATAAGCTTTTCAATGAGAATTTCCTCCAATGGAGAACCAAATGTGATATTGAGAAATCTCTTTCCATCAGAATAGAAAACAAAGTCTTTAAGTGGTAAACCATAACCAACAGTGAAGGTTGTTTGCCACCCACCAAACAATGGAAACCTTGGTTCAATTTCCAGTTGGGTCTGAAATAAGAAAGCTTGATCTTTGAAACTGTTTTGAAACTGGTGTTGAAACCTTGATGACTGAGACAGCTAACAAGATTACCTTCATAGAATCACTCCACAAATGTGATGTTGAAATATTACCGATCTCATCTCTGTAATAAATAGAGTGTGCCCTTGGAGGCAGTTTTGCAATAAGATGCCTAAAAGATGAAACACCCCTTACGTAAGGTCTAGATTGATAATCGATCCTACAAAGGAGGCAAATAATTAGTTACTTCTGAACATAACTTATCTCTCGAGTTACAAATTTATTTAGCTACTTAAAAATTGCAATCAAAACTCAGAAAGGAGAATAACCTGGAAAATTCACCCTTGAGTCTGGCACCACCATGGGCAATGTTGTAGTGTTCTGTAATCTGTACATTTCCCCAGTGAGATATTTCAATCTCCCTTATAACTTCCTTTGCGACTGCAAAAGGATTGTTGTTCTCAAAATGCACAATCACAGGTAAGTAGGAAAATGGGGGAAGATCGTGAAATGGTCCATATTTCAGTTCTGAATCAACAAGTTTTGCGTTTGGATGCCTTGTGTATGATTCAACCCTCCCGCCAGGCAATCTGATAGCAAGTGTCTGTGCCTTAACAGGGTAAGGTGACAGATAGTGAGCACTATCCTGATAGACAACAAGCTGTGCTTCGGCTTGAGTGATTTCTTCTGGGAATGGTTGAAGAGAGTGCGTGAACACAGTCAGGACATCCAAGTACAGAGTCTTTCCCTTTTCCAAAGGTTTGGGCAACAATGCTGAAAAGAACGTCAGCTCCGGGGGAGCTCCAGAAGGTTGAACAACTTCGATTGGCAGAACAGTACTTTGACCCTTCACTTTTCCTTCACTGCCGAATGCTCTAATAGCTGCCAAGTTCTTGGCTTGGATATTGGGAAAAGCCAGTAAAACTTGAGAGACAGGGTCCGGTCCAACATTTTCAACCTAAACAAAGGGGGAACCAAGTAACATTTAGAGCAACAAAGCAAGGCTATATTCCACCTAGAGTCCTAGACGTGAGCACTTTGAAGAGAGATGTTATTCTATATCAAAAACAAAAAAAGTTTCAATGAATGTTAAGGATTTCAGAGCTGACACTGTCATACACTAAAAAGCATAAACATGATTAAAATATGGAAATATAAATACCTATACATAAAAACAGAACTCAACAAACATCACTAGAAACTGGTTTAGAAAGCATATGGCTGATTTGTGGGGCAGAGATATATCGAAATTTTGACAGTAGTAATTTGGGCAGTGGTGAATAGATCAGCAGTCAGACATTGCAACTGGATTTCAGACTGATAGTGAGCAGTGCTGATACAGTGAGATGGGCCAACCCGCTTCATAATTATGTAATATATGGATGTTAGACGCAAAAACTGAGTTCACAAGCATCATCCACTAGAAATTGGTTCAAACAATGCTGACAAAATTTCACGGGACAGATAATTAGGCATATTTAAATTTTGGGAGCAGCAATTTGACACTGCTGAATAGACCTTTAGCAATGAATTTAGTACAGAAGAATTCACTGTATTCACTGTATGAAGCTAAAGGCTCAGCAGGAGGAATCCTGGTTGGGGCCAACATGGATATCTTTAACATGGTAGTTGGGGATGTTTTAAAGTTTTCGGTTAGTGTAATGCTTACTAACAAAGCTAATGGTTTTGTTTGGAAGCTTATTGTGGTTTATGGACCAGCTTATGATGATCTAAGCATGAGTTCTTAGAAGAGTTAGAAACTGTGATGGGCGCTTGGAATGGCCCAGTTTTGATTGGGGGTGATTTTAACCTTGTTAGGTTTGCCTCTGATAAAAGTAATGGAGTGTATATTCATAGGTGGGCTGATGAGTTTAACAGCTGGGTTAACAAGTGGGCTTTGATTGAGTTGAATCCTAGTAATAAAAAATTTACCTGGACAAATAATCAAGAGCACCCTATTTTAGCTAAGATTGATAGGATCTTTGTCTCTGGTTTGTGGGATGCTGCTTTTCCTTTGTCCAGTGTCAAAGCTCTGGATAGATTTCCAAGTGATCATAACCCTCTAGTTTTAGATTCTGGGATGAATATTTGCTTTGGCAAAAAGAGGTTTCGTTTTGAGAAATGGTGGCTGGAAAAGGAGTCCTTTTATAGTATAGTGGAGAAAGCTTGGGGAACTCCTTGCACCCTGACTAATTGTATGGACAGATGGCAATTTAGAGTGAGGACCTTAAGAAGGATGATTAGGGGGTGGGCAGCAAATGAGGTAGCTGTCCAGAATAGAGATAAAGTGGATTTGTCTAAAGAGTTCACTAGACTGGAAAGTCTAGCGGAAATCAGGGATTTGTCTAGTGTTGAGAGGCAGGAGTTAGCGCACATTGAAGATAAGTTAGAAAAGATTTGGTCTTTAGAAGAGATTAGAGTTAGCAACGTTCTAGGGATAGAAACATTCTTGAGGGTGATAAGAATACGGCATATTTTCAGGCGGTTGCTAACCAACGGAGTAGAAAAAAGAAAATAGAATGCCTTGAAAGCCCTACTGGTTTGGTTTATGATCAGAAAGGGATGATGAGAGTGGCAGTAGATTTTTACAAAAACTTGTTTGCTAAGGACTCTTAGCCTGGCTTTAAGTTGGGACAAAATTTTTGGGAGGAGGAGGATAAGGTCTCGAGGAATGAAAATGAGTTACTCATAGCACCTTTTTCTGAGTCAGAGATAAAAAACGCCATTTTTAGCTGTTATGCAGAAGGGGCCCCTGGGCCGGATGTCTTATCCTTTCTCTTTTACCAAAAGTTTTGGGATCTCATTAAAAATGATGTGGTGCATCTTTTTAATGCTTTTCATAGGGGTGACTTAGAACTTAAGAGACTTAATTTTGCCTTGGTTTCTCTAATTCCAAAAGTAGGGGAGGCAACAAATATGAAGCAATTCAGACCTATTAGTTTGTTAAATTGCAGCTTCAAAAAATTTTCTAAGTTGCTAACTCTTAGGTTGAGCTCTGTGGTTCAAAGGATAGTGGCTCCAACTCAATCAGCTTTTATAAAAGGAAGATATATTTTAGAAAGTGTAGTAGTGGCTCATGAGTTGGTTCATAGTGTGCATCAAAGTGGTGAACCTGGGGTTATTCTTAAACTGGATTATGAAAAAGCTTATGATAGAGTGTCTTGGAGTTTTCTCTTTGATATGTTAGAAGCCCGAGGTTTTGATCCAGTTTGGATAAACTGGATTAGACAAGTTGTGGTCGGAGGATCTTTGGGTATTATGGTAAATGGGGAGGAAAGTTCCTATTTTAAGCCTGGCAAGGGCCTAAGACAGGGAGATCCGTTGTCCCCTTTCCTTTTCAACTTAGTTGGAGATGGTCTGTCTAGAATGTTGAAAAAAGCAGTACATACAGGGATTGTGACAGGGATCCTAGAGGGCTTTAGGCAAGGGGGTATTGTGGCTCTGCAGTATGCAGATGACACTATTTTATTTTCCAAAGCTGAGGAGGCTGTGTTAGAAAATCTTAAATGTATTCTTATGTGGTACGAACAAATTTCGGGTATGAGAATCAATTTTAACAAAAGTGAAATGATCCCAATCAACTTAGGAGATCATGAAGTACATAGTTTAGCCCATATTCTCTCCTGCCCTGTTGGCAAATTCCCTATTAAGTACCTAGGTATTCCGCTGCATTTTGATGCTCTGACCAGAGATGACATACAGCCTTTAGTGGATAAAATTATGAACAAAATTGCAGGATGGAGAGGAAAGCTGATGTCCCTGGCTGCTAGGGTAGTTTTAATCAAATCCTGTCTTTCTAGTATACCTGTTTATCTTCTGTCTTTTATCAAGTTCCCTAAATGGGCCATTAAAATGTTAAACACCCATATGGCTAATTTTCTTTGGGATGATTGTGAGAATAACCATAGATATCACTTAGCCAACTGGGAGTTAGTTTCTATGCATAAGGAGTTTGGTGGTCTTGGGATCCCTAATCTGAGAGATCTAAATTTGTGTCTTTTGGCTTCGTGGCTTAAGAGATATAATGTAGATAGAGATAAACTCTGGAAAGAGTTAATAGATTTCAAGTATGATACTTTGAATCCTCATGTTCTGCTCACTAGATCTTCTTTTGCTTCTAGTTTTTTTAAGGGTTTTATGTGGGCAGCGCAGGCTGCTAAGATGGGTTTTCTGTGGAAGGTTGGGAATGGGAGGAAGGTTAGGTTTTGGGAGGATACTTGGTTAGGTTCGTCCAGTTTGGCCATACAGTTTTGGCCTATTTACCGGATCATCAATGAACATGGGAAGACAGTTGCAGATTTGTGGGATGGATCAAATTTGAAATGTACCTTTAGGAGAACAGTAAGTGATGATCTTTATCAGTTATGGTTAGAAGTAGTTGAACTAGTTTCAACAGTTAATCTTTCGGATGAGGAAGATGAGATGATCTGGAAGTTTTCTTCCAAAGGATCTTACTCTTCTCAATCGCTTTACAAAGTTATTAATTTTAGAGGGATTAAGCAAGTGCATGTATCAGCTGTTTGGGGGATTAAAGTTCCTCCAAGAGTCCATATGTTTTTATGGCTGTTGATTAATAACAGAACTTTAACTAGGGATAATTTAGCCAAGCGTAGAAAAGTAGAGGATGCATCTTGTCTTTTCTGTGTGGAGAATGAAAGCTGCCATCATTTATTTTTTGATTGTGTGGTTGCTAGGAGATGCTGGTCAGTTGTCGCTGATTTGTTAGGAATACAAGTAGGTGGAGACATAGTTAGTATAGGGCAGTTTTGGTTGAGTGAAAAAAAGTATAGTGTTATTAACATGATAACTTCTGCTGTGTTGTGGTCGATTTGGAAACTCAGGAATGAGCTTTGTTTTCAGAGGTCTGGATGGAAAAGTATGGAGGTATTGTTCTACAAGATCTTGGGGCTGCTACAGAACTGGATAGTTCTGTGCCCGGTGAACAAAAGGAAGCGGCTGGATGGTTTCCTGGAGGATTTGAAGACTGCAGCAAAGAGGATTTTCTGGCTTCCCGGTTTCACCAGAAACGCAATGCCAAGTTCTTCAGAAGCATGACATCGGTGGCCAATGATGAAGGTGATCAGTTACCTGGGAAGTGCTCAAGGCTGCTGGTGTTGCCGAGTCTTACCTGATGAAGGAGCTGAAACCTTTCTGGGATGTAATAGGGTGTGGGTCTTTAGTAATGGTCTTAATGCCTGCTTCTGGAGTTTACTTTGTTCTTTGTCTTTTTTGGTTGGTTGCCTGGTAGTGGCTGGGTGAGTGTTCACCGTCTGCCAGTTGGGATTGGACGCTCTTTGAGCTAACTGTGCTGTGAAACTTTGGTCTTTTGATATTATTTGAAAGGCTGGGGCGTTATGCCCTTGAACTCTAAAAAAAACAGTGACATTTCAGACTACTAAGAGATGCGGAGTTGGACAGGCAGGAACGATTCATAAAAACACGAGAGAGACAGAACCAAGCAGCAAACCTTGAGGGAAGCGAGGACGCGAACGATATGCGAGGTCAGATCAACCTGCGAGGAGAGAGGGGGAAAATGGACACGTTAGATCCGAGAGCGCTGAGGCGGGAGAGGTGGGAGTTGGGCTCCGAGATCTGGGCAGCGAGGACTGTACTGACCCTCCGATCTGCCTTGGAGATGACGAGATCGGCGCGCGCGGTGGAGGCGAGGACGCCGGCGAGGACGACAAGGAGGAGCGCGGCGATGCGGCGGAGGGGCGCCGGCGTAGTCGCCATCTTCCCGCGGCCAGATCGCGTCGGGGAGCTTGGCTTCGCGGCGGAGATGTGAAGAAGAGTTGGGCTTTAAACCCTCGGGGCCTTTCGGGCGTGTGCGCCTGCCTGCGAAGACCGAGGAGGAGACGCTGCGCTGCCGCTGCGGCCGGACGGGTCAGGTCAGTCGTTTCGGGGGTTTTGGTGCGATCTGGACTTGTTCCTGCAGTCTCTGCGTCGTGCATTCCGCATTTGGGCAAGTTTTGGGTAGGTTTTGCCAGGTGGTTATTTTCTACGTAGCTGTATGACATGTTAAGAGAACCACGAGGTTAAGGGGCTGTTTAGATGCATCTGAAATAGCAAAACTTTTGACCAAACAAAGACTGATTTGCCTCTGTTTAATGCACGATTTGGTCCATTAATTGTCACAGTATGCTGGGCTTGTTGCTGCTGCTCGCCCTTCCTGCTGCTAGCACTTGCAGTTGCTCGCCATTGCTGCTGCTAGCATTTGCTGCGTGCCCGGCAGTGTTTACAAAAATCAAATATTACACTTTATTGTATAATTCTTGAATAGTTCAAGTACACAACTCAATTGTCCTCAACCATACAAATCACTCACACACGTTACATTTGAAGTACATCATTTCAATTGTCATGATCGATTTAACAAACCAAGGGCAATCGAGTCACGGAAAGCATTCATCATTGCATATTCGTCCCTTGCCGGCGTTTGACGAGTACGTGGCTGAGAGGCCGATGCTTCAGGTGGAACATAGTTCTCATTACGATCACAACGATCAAAGTCCTTATCCACTATTCCACTCGTTCTAATGAAATTATGGAGTGCCATGCATGCAACGATAATTTAGCTTTTGCTTATGAGGTGCATAACTTGGCATTTGCAACAAAATCATTCACTTCATCTTCAAAACTCCAAACGACCTCTCGATGACATTTCTAAGAGATGAATGCGTGTAGTTGAAGATCTCTTTTTTACCTTGTGGCTCCGGGCCGTCTCGATACTCCGGAAGATGGTACTTGGTTCTCTTGTAGGACGCAAGGTAACCTGGACAGTTTGGGTAGTCGATGTCCACCAGGTAAATTTTTTCTACACAATGGAACAGTTTGTAAATTTCACCCGGTTCAGTTGTTTACTTGTGGGTGGATGTAGAAAGACGTGGTTGTACTTGATCATAACATCAGTAAACACTCTTGTCGGTGTTTTGGAACCGGGGGTCCCTCAACCAACGAGTGAATTTGTGCTGCGTGCCCCTAATCCCGGATGGTGGCGCAAAGGGACACAAGGTTTATACTGGTTCGAGCAATCGAGGCCCTACGTCCAAATCAGAGAGATCGATCTTGTATTCCTTGCACCGAGTGCTCGTAGTAGGGGGTTACAAGCTAGGTGAGAGAGGAACTAGCCCCTGTGTCTCGGCGAGTGTGGTGCGGGCTGCTTGAGGCGTTGTTCCCAAGCAAAGATATGAGCTAGCTGGTGCTATCGGCTTGTTCCTCTCCTTTTCTCCCTAGAATGGCCCCAGTCCCTCCCTTTATACTCTAAGGAGGACCGGGATCGTGCACAGTGGTGCTACATAGCGCTCAGAAAATGGGGTGGCGTGTCCGGAGCCCTCGTAGTCGGCCATCGCTGTGGTATGGTCGATGGAGTGGCCCGTCCTTGTCGTGCGGAAGTGACATGCTTTGGTCGACTTCGGTCTTAACGCGTCGTGGGGCTCCAATCGATGGAGGACATGGCGGGCGACGTGTCGGGGTCGCCGTGTAATGACGTCGTGGGGAGCAATGGCTCTGCGGATGCCGAGGCCGAGCCATCGTGGGGGCTCGGTGGTCATGGACCCTCAGTTTGCCGAGCCCGTGAAGCAAAACTGTCGAGGCCTTGGGGGAGTTATTGGCCCCAGGTATCGATTCCGAGGCCACAAGAGGCCAGACGTGGCTCCCCATGCTGCGTTGTCCTTGGAGCGGGAGTTGGCGACCTGATGAGGCATGGGTGTCAACTATGTGTGCAATGGATAGCATAGTGACGGGTAACCCCCTTGATCCGGACGGCAACGTCTGTCATCGCGTGATGACGCGTGAGTAGGGCCGTGGCTCAGAGGTGCCGAGGCCAAGCCATCGCGGGGCTTTGGCGGACATGGGTCCTCGGGCCGTCGAGCCCCTCGGCGAGCGAGCTGCCGGGCCTTGGAGGGAATTATTGCTCCTGAGTGCGATTCCGAGGCCACGATGGCTCAGACGTGGCTCCCCATGCTTGCGTTGTCCTTGGAGCGGAGTTGGCGGCCAAAGGAGGCATGGGCGTCAACCACGTGCACGGGTTAATACAATGGCGGGTAACCCCATGCGATCCTGTCTCTGTCCCATCGGCCATTCTCATTGCATCTTGTCGCAGGCATGCGGTTGTTGTCGAAGCGCGCATTGCTTGAGTTGACGCGACACTGACGTTTTGCCGAAGGGACGGGAGAAGGAAGAGGTAGCGTGTCTTCGCAGAGCCCGCCTTGCGCGCGAGACGGAGGGTCGGTGGCCTCGGCCGAGACCTCTGGCGGGGAATCGACCGAGGCCATGGGTGAGGGGGCCTCGGGCGAATCGGGAGAATCGGTGAGGCCAGCATGATGAGGCCTCGGGCGAGTCGGAGAATCGGCCGAGGCCACGGTGATGATGAGGCCTCGGGCGAGTCGGAGAATCGGCCGAGGCCCACGGTGATGGGGCCTCGGGCGAGTCGGAGAATCGGCCGAGGCCCATGATGATGGGGGCCTCGGGCGAGTCGAGAATCGGCCGAGGCCAGCAGTGCATTTAGCTGGTTTCGGTCTTCTGAAATCTAAGCAATGCGTTTTTGGATTTTGCTTGGGGTACCCCTTCTCACTGTGTCCGAAGCGAGTGGCCCAGGGCCCCTGGAGGAGTGATTTCACTTCTTCAGGGGCTTTTTTCTCTTTTGAGTGAGGTGTTTTGATCGTGATTGCCGGGTCCGTAGGTGCGAGTTCGGATCATGGGGCCTTGACGATGTTGTGGAAAGACCACTGGTCTCTAGAAAGTTGCGGAGGAGGAGCCCCCAGTCTCTCTCGCGAGAGGCGAGAGAGCGGTCAGGTCCCGCTTTTGGTTCGCCCCTCAGCAGCGTGAGGTTTGACTGCCGAGCCCCCTCGGGTGCGAGCCTAGGTCAGGTCGGGTCTCGGCGTCTTTTGCGAAAGGAGCTCCCTAGCCTCACTTGCGGAGCAAGAGGGCCGTCAGAGTTCTTCCGGCTTTTTGAACGACCCTCGCTTTTTCTTTTCGCTCGGAAGGAGGGTTGGTTTTGCCGAGACCCCTCGTGTGCGAACTCAAGTCATTGGGCCTCGGCAACGTTTTGCGTGAAGAGTCCCTTAGCCTCAGACGGAAGCAAGAGGGCCGTCGTGGATTCTCCTGACTTTTTATTCGACCCTCGCGCTTCCTTTTCGCTCGGAAGGAGGGTGGAATGTGCCACGCTACCCTCGGTGGGCGCGAGCGATGGCACTTCCGGTGAGTCATTGTCGGGTAAGTCCGAGTGGAGGCCCGTGCACTCTTCTTTGGGGTCGGCTAGCGGTCCCGAGACGCGCTCCAAGAGTACCGGAGGGTTTCTCTAGTGGGTGCCGAGGCCGTTCATTGGGCCTCGGTGGCTCGGTGCCTCCCTACGGTGGGATCCCATTCGAGACCTCCTCCTGCCTCTCGGACACAACACAGGCGTCCCAAGCGTTTAGCTTGCTTGGGCCTCGGCTGTAGGGCTCGCCAGTGGTTGCCCCAGCTCTGTTGCTCAAGCTACTGTCCGAAACCCCTAAGGGCCCAGCCTTCGAACCCCTGGACCGTAACGGGATCGGGTCGCTTGTTTTTACCTTGGGTGCAGGAAGAGCCCCCGAGCCTCCGCACGGAGCGAGAGGGCGGTCAGGGGTCCTCCCGACTTTTTTGCCCGTCCCCCGCCTGGCCCCTTTTCGCTTTGGACGGGGGGCATTTTTTGCCGAGCCCACTGCAGTGCGAGCCTGAGCCACTGGGTCTCGGCAAAGTTGCAGGAGGAGCCCAGAGTCTCTCCTGACGGAGCGAGAGAGCGGTCGAGGTCCCCGGCTTTTGGTTCGCCCCTCAGCGTGAGGTCTGATCGCCGAGCCCCCTCGGGTGCGAGCCTAGGTCATGGGTCTCGGCGTCTTTTGCGGAAGGAGCTCCCTAGCCTCTCAGACGGAGAAGAGGGCCGTCGAGTTCTTCCGCTTTTTGAACGACCCTCGCGCTTTCTTTTTCTTCTCGGAAGGAGGGTTGGTTTTGCCGAGACCCTCGTGTGCGAACTCAAGTCATTGGGGCCTCGGCAACGTTTTGCGTGAAGAGTCCCTTAGCCTCTCACTTGACGGAGCAAGAGGGCCGTCGTGATTCTCCTGACTTTTATTCGACCCTCGCGCTTCCTTTTCGCTCGGAAGGAGGGTGGAATGTGCCACGCTACCCTCGGTGGGCGCGAGCGATGGCACTTCCGGTGAGCTGCTTATCGGGTAAGTCCGAGTGGAGGCCCGCACCCGTTCATTGGGGGTCGGCTAGCGGTCCCGAGACGCGCGCTCCAAGAGTACCGGAGGGTTTCTCTAGTGGGTGCCGAGGCCGTTCACTGGGCCTCGGTGGCTCGGTGCCTCCCTACGGTGGGATCCCATTCGAGACCTCCCTACTGCTGGTCTCGGACACAACACAGGCGTCCCAAGCGTTTATTGCTTGGGCCTCGGCTACCGTAGGCTCGCCCAGTGGTTGCCCAGCTCTGTTGCCTGGGGCGGCCGTCGAAACCCCTAAGGGCCCACCTTGAACCCCTGGACCGTGAAGGGGCTCGGTGCCCATTCCTTTGCTGGAAGGAATCGGGGTATTTCTCTCCTGAAATTAATGGCAGCGCGTCTTTTGAGGCGGCTTTTTTGGGAGGCGAACGGCTCTCTGCTGCTGCTATGTTGACGCCTTGACGTGGCGTCACCGACGGACGACTCGCTGACGCGATTAATGAGGAGGAGGGAAGCCGACGGACGTACTACCGCACGCGATTAACGAGGAGGAGAGTGTGCGTG